ATCTCTCTCTTCCGGGTAAGATCTAAGCCACCTCCAGTTCTCTAAAACTTTGAGCACAGTATCTGGCAACCTTGTATTTTTTTCTAAAACCTAGAAGTGAGGCAATAGTGACTAAAGTTGGTGTTTTAGTCCCAGAAATACATGTGAGAGTGTCAACAGGTTGCTACACCACCATTGCTGCACTAATTTCCTTCCTCCTCAGTGGTTTGTGTCAACTTTATTGCTTCAAGTCTCTGAGAAAGCAGTGGTGTGTTCCAGAGAGTTAACAAAATGAGTATCTCGAAGGTGTTGACTCCTTTTTGGACCTTCTAAATGCACTCAGATCCCGGGTAACCACGTATTAACTGCTCTTGACCAGTATTAACTGAGCTCCACATGATACACCGGAGCGACACGGGAGGTGGCTCACCCACAGCTCCCCAGGCTGTGGTGTAACTGTGTGATTATAGTTAAATTTTAACTTCAAATTCAAACACACAAAAGTATTTTTAGGTAGAATTTTTTAGGCCATCATTTCTGGAAGAGCTGTTAACTGTTTTGCAAAGTTTTTTTGCATCCGCAGCAGTATTTGTTGGGAAAGTCATTTTCCCTAGCTACGGTTGTTAGTTTTCAGTCTCTTATTTAACTTTTCCCCTTCTAATGAACAGACCAATGGAAGTGTGGAGGATAACACGTGCTAGGTGTACAACGGGTTTTAGAACTAGATTTTTAGCTTCTGATGGAATAATAAAGTATGTGAACTTCTCTGCGTGCATTGTGAGAGGCGCCATGGAAGGCTGGCAGACACAAGGTTTTCCTGGTGTGGAGAACTGGTTTTTGGTCCTGGCTCACCAAGAGATACCTCATCCCTGAGCTGCTTTTTTAGCGATGTGGGATGCTGTGTGGAGGATTGTTCACAGGATATAAACATCCTTCAGTGAGGAGTTAAGAAGGCCTGTCCTGTGGCTGATATGCCTCATGGAGAAGAAACAATATCTGTAGTGAGGAGAGAAATGAAAGGCCTGTCATTCTAGCCCAGAATAAAAGCATTAAGTAATTCTCGGGGAATTACACCCTCTGCAAGTTTCAAACATTGTCCCTAGTAGCAGAGGAGCAGCGAGAGAAAGCTAATGTACCGTGCTCTTCAACACAATAGACTAACTTTTAATTTTAAAACCTCCACTTTTTTGAAGACCATTTTTTTAATAAAAGAGAAGAAAAAATTGTCTTGACACCATTCTGCTTCCAGACACTCGTTTCTTAACTACATTGGAGGGCAATATGGAATGAGTTGCCTTCTTTGTGGTGCATCAAAGGGGCCTGGCAAAATTAGAGTCTCTTTTAGTATGAGTAGATGCATATTTGGGAATTTCTTTCTGGTTTCAGAAATGCATAGCAGCATTCTGAAAATCTTCTGTCTCCTTTGCAGTGGAAAGGATTCTTACGGATCACAGCCCTTCCCCAGAGGCAAGTGGAATAGGGCTGGGCCGGCCACTAAAATGCGACACTGACCTTCAGTTATGTACGTGACACTGGTGGTCCAGACAAGCTCTTGCCATTTAGATGCTTTACAGAGCACAGCTTGAACTGGGCCAAAAAGAATGCTGTAAGCACTACTTGTGGAATTTGGGTTCCAGCTGTCTTTAAACCTGGCCTTAGAAACTAAAAGTTGCTTGGGGTTCTATCAGTGTGCTAACAGGAGTCGCATCCCGTTAGGGTGCAATGCTAAGGGAAATTAGGCCTGTTGAGTTTCTCTGCAGTGCTTGAGACCTGATGATGGACAACATTAGTTCTCAGAAACGTTCCTTGGTCTTATTATTAGGGTGTGAGCGTGCTTAGCTGGGGTGCGTGACTGCTCAGTCACCTCTTGCTCACTGGGATGGATGTTTGCGTGAGCAGCAGCAATAGCTTCGGTGTGTTTTCATGAAATCGCCCTGTGGCTTCAGTGTGATCCACCGCCCAAACCCCTTATGCAATATGGTTGACTTTGACACGGCTCAGCTGGAAAGGAAAGGCAAACAAAGGTGGAAGGAAACTGCAGCCCTCAGCCCAGCAGCGTGCCAGTGCTGCAGCTCCAGGACTGAAGGGGCCACCTAGAGCTGCTTTTAGTCCTGTGAACTTGGTCTCCGCTCTCTGGATCTTTGAAGACAGAGGTTGGATATAGGAGAGACAAGTCTGTGTTCTCTCGGAGTGTGGATGGTTAGATATATTTATTATAGGTTAGATCTCATGAAACTGGCAGAAGGACTAATTGAGGACCTGAGTAAAGAGTCTTCACCAGCGCCGTTCCTGTTGCCCATTGCTAATTTGCCAAGAAAAGAAGGAAAAAAAGGAACTCCCAAATCCAAGCCTACACTATTTAAAACTGGGATCTAACAAGACAAGGCAGCAGTAAGAGTCTTACCCTTTTCTCTCTGCATGAGTGCAGATAGCCGTGTCCTGGCCTGCTCTGCGTGGGAATGCAAGGAGGGGCGATACAAAGCAGAGAGCTCCCTGACACATGGCACGCTGGAAAGGTTGGAAGCAACAACGTTGCTTAGATTTGGGGTGGAGGAAAAGTGTTTTTTACCAATGCGTACTCCAAGCTCTTGGCTGTTTGTTGACTGGTTTCATTACTGTTTTGATGGACCAGAATCCTCATGAGGGTAATTATTCCGGGAAGGAGAGAGACTTAAAGTCAGTGAGATCAGGTTTTGAAGCATTGTTAGGCTGTTGTGTAAGGTCCTTGCTGAAAAAGGTACAGATGGAGGGCACTTTGCTGTAAAATGTAAGAGTCATTGTAGTGACTCCCAAAGTCTCTAGGAGTTGGTCTGAAAGGACCTGTAGTATGACAGGAATGTGTGTAAACTAGCTATTCAACAAATTTGATGGTGACTAACTTGATTAAAATAAGCAGCAGGAAATTCTTCCGTCATCTGCAGATACAAGCTGTTCCTGGGCCTTTGGGCTGAACTTTAGACTGAACTTCTTCTCAAGTTCTTTTCCCGAGTTTCCTATCCCCAGATTGCAGAGAAGCTGCAAAGTTGCTGTAGACACAATAGACGTGGGTCCCTCTAGGGCCTTCACTGAAGCTGCAGATTTCGGAGGATGGCTGAGAAGCTCTGCTCCTAAGCAACTCAAATACACGTCCAAACCTCTTCAGAACGACTTCATTTTTGACCAGAGACTCAGTGGTGTTGATTATAGCCTCTTCCCTACAAACACTCAGAAAAGGGCTGTATCTAAATAACCATTCACCCGGACCTGGTCACACCCCTCAGTACTTGGCAGCTCCTGGTGTGTTTTTTTTCCTGATAACACCCAGCCCATGTCTTTTTAGCCTGATGTGCGTGACAGCATTGCCAGCTATGCGAGCATGTGTTTGCGTTGCACATCTGTGATTCCAATGGAGTTGGTTTAGTTCTGAATTAAAGGATCAGCCTTTTGAATAGCAGAGTAAATGACCAGTTTGGGTGACAAAGTTTGTCTGCAAAATAGCTCTGTCCCGTTGTGTGAAAGTAATCGTAGTGTCCTTTTAATTCTGTAGCTGTAGTAGCCTGCAAGAAACAGCAGACCACCAGAGAACCCAGTCAAGCTACTTTTATTGAGGAACTGCTGGATCCTCAGTGATGTACAACCACACATAGACCTTTCAGTCCACTTCCCCTCTTTTTGGGAGTGCAGGTGGGAGAGAAAACTAAAAATAGCCAAGGAATAAGACTTTGCATGAATGATCCCATTTCCAGGTGTTTTAAATGCTCAGATAGATTGGAAGAAGACAGCTGGAGGCACTGATAAAGAAAACTACCCATATGAGAAACACGATCCTGAATCACAGTGGTTCGTTTGCCTACCGTGTAAGATTTATATTAAGTGGTGCTGAGGACTATGAAGTGGGGAAAGGGAAACTAAAAGATTTTTTTTAAAATGGCTTGAGACTGTGTATGAGGCATTACTGCTTGTGTAATGCTGAGTATCCAGAGTAACTTTGGGGCTGACTGGTGTGATTAGATGTCTCGCTGGGCCAGTGGAGTTTTGCTTCCAAGCTTAGCAACATACCTCTTCTACAGGTAAAACTTGGGGCAGTTGGTGGAAATGACAGGTTAACTCACGGTCTGTGGTGTCCTTGGGGCGACTCTGATCTTAAAACTATTAGAAATACCTTCATTGTAGTAAACTAACTTGTTTTCTAGCAGTCTAATGAAGCAGCTGTTTAGACATAGGAAACCTCTCTCAAGCCTGATGCTTTGTTTTCTGCTTTTGAGAGCTTTATTACTGTAGTATTTTGTTTTGTGCTTTCACTTTTGTGTCCTGTGTTAGGGTCAGTGCTGTGCTCAGCGCGCTTTGGGCAAACGGTTCGTGTTGCATAGATTAGTGGACTTAGTACTTAGATGCTAGGTGTGTACCCTGCAAGGCCAAATCATTGGATTTGTGCTTCAGGATCGATTAGCATTTGTTGGCCTCATGAAAGAGAAGGATTTTGCTAATGCAGAATTAGATCTCTTGGGCTCTTTTAAGCATAGGGGCCAGAACTAAGTGAAAACAGGCAGTGAAGTTTTGCAAAATGGGAGATCTCAAGACAAATGCAGGCAGCAGTATATTTTTATAGAAAGCAATATGCGATACGTTGCATGCTTTCAGAAAATTAAATGAAAAATGAAGTAACTGTTGTCACTTTTCATAATGGGCCATGAACACGTGGTGTTTATCAGTGTACCAGGCAACACGGTAATGTCTGGTGACAGCAATTCCAAACCTGGGGAAAGAAGATTCAGCCATTCTAATAGCAGAGAAAGCACAGCAAATAAAGCCTTTTTTTATACTCTTTGACCAGTTCTTCGGGCAGCGATTGGGGTGAAATTATTTGGGTTGCTGGAGGGATTTGGCGTCCTGATAAACACCAGCCCTTTAACCAGGGTTGAAGGCAGTGGTTGAGGTGCGGATGTCTCTGAAGCAGAGCTAGCTGAGGTGTAGTACGTGTGGACAACTCTGGGGCTGCTGATCTGATCCTTTGTGTGTTTTTTTTTTTTTTTCTTTCAGATGGAAAGAATGCGAGTGGATCCAAACAGCGTTATAATCGTAAAAGAGAAACTTCATATTCAAAAAATGAGAACTTTTCCAGTCAGTCCCGTCGCGCCAATTCACAGAAAAGCAAAGCTTTTAACAAGATGCCCCCTCAAAGGGGAGGTAGCGGCGGAAGCGGCAAACTTTTTAGCTCTTGTAATGGTGGAAGACGAGATGAGGTGAGAATTGTAGTGCTGTGCCTCCAAGGCCTTCTTACGTGGGACGAGAGGATCACTCTGACCTGCCTAGATAGGTCTTCTGTGTTCAGCTCCTGGGCTGGGAAGGGAAGGAGTGATAAAAGGTGCTAACATCGTTGGGATGCCAGAGTCAGTGTGAGCAGGACAACTTGGCAACAAGAGAAGAGGAGTGCTCTCTGCTCTGAGAGGCTGGCAATAAAAAATATCATCTGAGGAATGGGTACCTAGACAGGCTGTGTACATATCTCGTGAAACAGAGGTCCTTCGTGAAAATACCTAGTGATAAAATTTCTAGCTTTTAAGTCTGAGGTGATTGTGTCTAACCACTTCAGTGTAGAAATGTGCATGTGATTGTGGTATTGGGGAAGTAATTGTATTAGCTTTGGTGACATCGAGATAGAGTAAAAGCAGACTGAGGCTTTTGTCCTGATGTGGATCTGAATGCTGTAGGCTATTTGTGGGTTTTCCTGGATACTCCAATTTTTCTGTTTTAGTGGATGAGCAACACTGCTTGCCTAAATTGCTGACTCTGTCAAAACTCACCAGCTCTCTCTGTTGAATTCTCATTCTTTGCTTCCTTATAAGAAAACTAACCAAAGCAAGAACAATCTGTGCAAATAGTAATCAGACTTGTATTGCTGGCCATCCAAAATATTGATTCCAACAATTTTCTTATGTTATTAACCTGGGCTACTAGGTTTTGCCAGCTTTTACTTGTCCTTATGTGCATTGTTTTTATGCTCTCCTTCTTTTTATCCGTGTGGGGTAAGACTACTCAGTTCTGACTTTCAGGTTCTCATGCACTTCTAACGCTGCACTACTTGATTTGCAAACTGGAGTGAGAGAAGGTGAGTGAGTGGGTCCTGCGCGTCCTGTACGTAATCACTGATGGGGCCTGGGTGTCAACTTGTAGTGACGGTTTTGCAGTAAATTCTAGCGAGTTCTAACAAATGCTGTTGTCTCTTAGGTAGCAGAGGCTCGTCGGGCAGAGTTCAGCCCTGCCCAGTTCTCTGGTCCCAAGAAGATTAATCTCAACCACTTACTGAACTTCACTTTTGAACCCCGTGGCCAGGCAGGCCATTTTGATGGGAATGGACATGGCAACTGGGGGAAAAGGAACAAGTGGGGACATAAGCCTTTCAACAAGGAGCTCTTCCTACAGGCCAAGTGAGTGGAAGACCAGCAGGGCTTTTAGACCTCTACAGAGACACTGATCTGTAGGGGATGATCAGCCAAGAAATTGCTTTGGACCTTGACTACCTGTATTGACTTTTCCAGGGTGAAGTTACTTTTCCCAAGTGTTTTTAATAGTAATGACTGTACTTGAAAGGGATAAAAATATATGAAGTTGTTATCTTTACCTATTTAAAAGGTATCTGATGGAGTGAGTCCTTTAGATACAAACCAGTTAGTCTTCTGCTTTAATTTTCTAGCGTCACTTGTGGAATATGACACTTCCTTTGGGAAGACCTGTCTAGTTCCTTTACGGAAGACGATTGCTTATTTTCCAGAAAAACTATGTTGAGTTACTAAGGGTAGCAGTTACTGGATGAAAACTAATCTGAATTTCTAAGTGTCAGAAGCAATTATCCTGTTGATCTTAGTTCTTAAACTCCGAATTATTTTCCAGGCCCCATAGTATATAGTATGATGCAAAGGATGGTCACTATAGTAATCCAGCAGAAGAATTGCTTTTGACTGGATAATAATGGTTGCTTTCACCAGAATTTGAAGCATGTTCAGTGCTTCCTGTGTCTGACCACGATAAAGATAATAACTATTTTCAGCACTGATGCTTCTTATTTTTTTTTCCCCTGTTGTTTTGTGTCTTATTGTCATGAATGCTATTTGCAGAAACCTCAGTAATTCTAGGTTTTGTGAGCATATTTTTCCACTTGTGGATTTCCTGTTTTTCAATAGATTCTTGATGGAGCTGGCTCTTTCTTACATGTTTTTTTCTGTAAAACCGCTCTGCCTGGCTTATTCTGTAGTTAGTATGTGATACTGTGTCTAGCTGAAATTAGACACCTGTGTTCTGGAAATCTGGCTGTGAACTCTTTGGAGTTTTGTTGGTAGAAATTACTGACTGTGTCCAGCAGTTTTCTGCTGGACAAAGAAGAAGCTCAGAGAATCCTATAAGATAGCTCTCAAAGAATTTTTAGAAGCAACTGAGTGGATCATCTGTCTCTTTGCCTTTCCCCAGCTGCCAGTTTGTTGTCTCTGAAGAACAGGACTACACAGTCCACTTTGCTGATCCAGATACCTTGGTCAACTGGGACTTTGTGGAGCAAGTGGTCAGTTGTGATGGGCTGGATTTTTTTTTTTTTTAACTCCTCCTTCTTAAGCTCAACCTGTCTTTAACTGCCTCTTTATCTCTGTGATGTTACGTAAAACTCAGCTGTTTTTGAGTTGAGTCCTCTTCTGTCACTCCCACAATACTGGAAAAGATCTGTCATGGAATATATTATGAAGTACTTTCATGACAGGAAGAGAGAAGTGCTAAAATCTATTAGGAAAATTAGCAACTTCTTCTTGCTTTCGCAGATGGGAGCTCATCAAAAATAGTATCTGACATTCTGTAGACAGAGTCCTTGTGATCAAGATATTAACAGAAAACTTGGGCATGAGTCCATGGAAGAGGACTAGAGTGTAGAATTTTGAAGAATTATTCTGTGCATAGGTGGCCCATCTTGCCTAGCAACAAAATAGAAAATCATTCGAGGATCATGGTCAGAACTTTGGGCTGTCTCAAATAGAAATTTATTATCTGCCAAGACTAGTCTCAGTGTATGGCGTAGTTGGAGAGGAGGTAGGCCTATGCTACAAGAGAAATGAAAAATCTAGGTTCTTGCTTTGTAGTTATGTCTCTAACATATAGATGCTACTGAAGTGTCAGGTTAAACTAATATTTTTGTGAAGGTAGGTGAGTTCAGTCTTGCAGTTAAACGGGGCTGCACAAGTCTGCCTGTGTCAGTGAGGTGACAGAGCTCATTTGCTGTCTTCTTAGTGTCTGGATTCAGATGCTGCTGCTGCTGACCCTTAGAGATGGTGAATACATGAGAGAAAACATGGGAAGAGTAATTTTTTAAAATGTCATTAGAGTAGAAATCCCAGATGAGTGGCTTTGGAGGTTACTTTATGTGCAGTCTGAAGGTGTTACTTGGTTCACAGTGTGCTTAATTTCATGGTAAATAAGCAGAGACTAAAGAGCTGGAAGGTTAATATGTTAGAGTAGGTCTTATGGGTGGCTTATTCTGTGGCACAGGAACTGATTTCCAAGTATAAAATTTGTACTATTCTTCTCTTAACGCCATTTCAGCGAATTTGTAGCCATGAAGTGCCCTCTTGCCCTATATGCCTGTACCCACCAACGGCAGCAAAGATCACCCGCTGTGGGCATATCTTCTGTTGGGCGTGTATCCTTCACTATCTCTCCTTGAGCGAAAAGACCTGGAGTAAGTGTCCTATTTGTTATGGCTCTGTTCACAAGAAGGATCTCAAGAGGTGAGGCCTGGTGTTTATTAAATGAAGTATCTTTTTGAAATGTTATTTCTCCCTACTAACCTTTTGCTTCTATTGCAGTGTCGTGGCTATGGAAACACGTCAATACGCCATTGGTGATACCATTACGATGCAACTTATGAGAAGAGAGAAAGGTGTTCTGATAGCATTGCCCAAATCTCAGTGGATGAATGTGGTGCAGCCCGTGTACATCAGAGGTGAGTGTATGTGAGTGCTGCTGACAGGTATCCTGCTCCCAGCTGCCACCAGGACTTGTGTAGGTGCCATGCTGCCACCTTCAAGTATAACAGACCACGAAACGTGGGGTTTAGCAGCAGGGAACCTTAGTGACCATGTGTTAATATTAAGCTTTCTACTCACACTTTGTGTTTTGTAAGGCTTTAACTTGTCTGCTGTTTCCCTTGAAGTTGCTGCACTGCAGCCTCCTGCTTTCTCGACTGTTGGTATTAGTTTGCTGTGTGCTTTGTGTCAGACCGTCACTCTTGCTGCTTTTGTTGGCTCTTCGGTGTCCTTAACTCTTTTTTCCTCCTGGTTCCTCCGTATACAGCTTAGCAAAAATAACTGTCTCTGTGTCTAAAACTATTTCAAGGATGTGATCTTCAACAAGGTTTCATCATCTTATCAACTAAAGTCTGTGAACGATACAGGAAAATAATCAAAATTATTGCAAACCTATTCCAAACATCTGTTGCCTGACTTCTTCAGTTTTCTCCAGTCAAGTAATGTGACTAACACATCACCATCTTATCTGTTAGTATCACAAAAATTTTGTGACTAAAGAAATAATTTTTACTTAACATTGCTGTTTTGTGGGCTGTCTTGGCTTGCTTCATTTTGCAGTCACATTTGTGAAAGGCGGTGTGCATTTAAGCTCTCTGTAAAAAGTCAAGTCTCTTAACACACGCTGGGTATCCAGCACGCAGGGTGTGTGCTTACATGTTCCTCAGTATTCGAAAAGAAGGACTTTTAAATCTGTGCATGAAACAAACGAAAGAACAAATACGGGATGTGAGATCATTCTAAACCCAAGAAATTCAGCATTAACTTGGTGTCCTGTAGACAAGGTGGGATCCTTGCTGAGCAGTGATTATAGGGACGGTATTAGTCCATGATGCTCTGGTTGCTGTAAAGTTTATCATTAAGATAAGCTTTCTAGTAACAAAGACCTTCAGCTAAACTTGCAATTCTTTAGTTGACTATTTCTGCAGTACTTCCTGTGAAAACCTCATAGTAACGTTTTTATGGATTTCTAACACATATGGGCTTATGGACTAGTTTGAGCCAAAACAGGCCATTTTGGCAGAACTTGTCAGCTGCAGTATTTTTGAGTATGTAGGGAAGAGGAAGAAGCTACGGACTGCATGTTTTTGGAAAGTTTTGACCACCCAAGGCTTCTGAAGGGTGATGCCTCCACAGCATAGAAGTTTAGACCTTTGGTGGGTTGTTGTTTTTTTTTAATGTATAGCAACTGAGTGCTGAAATGGCAGGATGAAAGTGGCAGATGAACTGCTGTGTGGGGGAAGGTGTGTGTAGCAGAGCAGTTCTGTGGCACCAGCTTGTGTCGTCAGTAATATACTGGTAGTATGCAGAGTGTGTATCAAACTCTTGCTAAGTCTTGCCTGCCCTGGGGTGGATTAACCCCTAAAATTAAGCAGTAACAAAACTTTGAAAGAAACAGCAGTCCAAGCTGATGCCCCTATGTCCGGATATTAACGATTTGGTGTTTCTTTTGTTCAGATGACCAGCACAGTCAGTATTCAAAGCTGCTTCTGGCATCCAGAGAGCAGGTCTTGCAGCTGGTGATTCTGGAGGAGAAAGCAGCATTACTGAAACAGTATGAGGAGGAAAAGCACACCCCAGAGGCTTGCTTTATTGAGGCGGCTATCCAGGAACTGAAGGTGAGAACATCTTTGAAGGCTTCTTAGTAACTTTATTTTTAAGAGTATGCTGAGTGCTAAGCATCTGTGTTCTGCAGCATAAGTGGTTGTGTGTGATTATTCTCGTCTCCATGATGTACAAAATAGCAAGTGGTGATGTTTGCTGCTAGAATAGCGTTATAAATCTTGGAGGAGGCTATAGCCTTTGGACCCCAGGTATCTGGCATAAATTTCAAGATAACAGAACAGAATGTTTTTTACTGAATGGTATTCCTTCCATAAATGTAAAGGAGTTAAGGCTTTCAAAGGAAGATGTATTTCTCTTTCAGGCCTAGTAGTTTCTGGGATAACTTCTATCAGTCACACATGAGCAAACCTGTAGAATATTCCTTTTAAAAGCCTTTAGGTTTCCTACAATCGATGTGGTTTCCAGTAACAAGAAGGAGAGGACTTCTTTTCAAGGGTCACTCTTTGTCACAGATCAATGACAGATTTATGAAAACCTGAAGTATAGGACAAGGCTAAAAATAACTTTGGTGATAGTCTCCTGGCTTCAACAGGAAATTGAAACTTGTTCTCTTTGGATGACCTGTAGGAGCGAGAAACAGCACTCTCTGCTGACCAGGATAAAAACAGTGGCGTTGCTGGAATCAGTGCAGCTGTGGAAGAATTGGTCCTAGAAAGCTCCAAAGCTGTGGAGCCTGCAGTTTCCCAAGAGAAGAAGGTGGGTGATAACCCTGCTCTGGCAGATCTCCTTAATACTTAATTCTGCCACTTTATGCTGCAGTGTATGGTGAACTCGTGCCAAAGATTTTTGCAGAGATGATAATATTTTGAAAGAGTTGATGTGGTACTAACTGTGTGCTCTCTGCTGTGATAGTGTGATGTGGAATATCTGTCTGCATTTGATGAGGAGCTTGTGGAGCCTTCCTCTGATCTGGCAAGTTCCTTTCCTCCTCCTGTGGAAGCAGAAGAGGCAGTGCTGGATGAAGAGGAGGAGGTACCTGAGGTGGACACCGTAGGGGGACCTGATATGAACACTACAGAAGAACCAAATCCAGCTGAAACAAGCTGCCAAGAATCTAAAGATACAATTAGCAGTGGACATCTTAGCAACTCTCCTTTTTACTATTTCTATCAAGGTCAGTGCAATGAAATCGTGGAATCGTGGGGGCAGAGATACCTCTTTTGGGATTTCTCTTGACAAAGATGTTTGTCACTCTGCTAGATGCAGCTAACGTGAAGTAAGAGTCGCAGGGAAATGCAGAAAGGAGCTTTAATTTTATTACTGGAGAATGTATGGAGGTGGGGAGAAGGGTATTGAAAATTAACAGGCAAAGAACAAGGAGTGATATCTTATCTTACAGCGGAGGATGGACAGTGTATGTATCTTCACCCCGTGAATGTTCGATGTCTTGTTCGTGAATATGGCAGCTTGGAGAAGAGTCCAGAGAAAATAACTGCAGCTGTAGTGGAGATAACTGGCTACTCAATGACAGAGGTAGTTATTTTATCTTCTTATTAATTAAGGGCCCTTGTTTTAGCAGATTGATCATTGTAGCTGACAGATGACACTTGTTTCTCTTCAGTAATAACAATAAACGCGTAGGCATGTTAATCTGTGAAGGGCATCTCTGTAAGGTGCGGTGCCACGTGTTACTTTTGATAAGTAGGCTGCAGTGTGGCTTTTTGATTTTTTTTTTTCTTAGAGGGTAGGAAGTTCTAGGAGTAAGAGAATTACAAGCTTAAGATTGGTTTCTTATTTAAGCTGTCTGAAAAATAAATGAATTATTTTCCCTATAAGACAGATCTGTCAGAACAGAAGTGTTTTGCCTCTATCTTGAACAGTTGTTTCTGAACGTCAAGGGTAGAGGTGGAATGTTACCACAGTGAAGGGGATGGGAAGAAACTTCAGTGTTCGAGATAGAGGGAGTGAAAGTGCTTAAGGCACTGAAGTTCTGGAAGAGGGGGTGGGTCTTGAATTCCTTTACCTCAGATAAAGACAACTATAGGAACTGGCATGTGCAGGAATAATTATACGTAATTCTTAATTCGTCTTTAAGAAAGGATGTGCTCAAGTAGGAAGGGATGCAGAGGTAGCAGGGAATTGTCTTCCAAGTTTTTAGGCTCTGTGAGGAAAGATATAAAACTGCTTGTTTCAGTCTAGCAAAGTGGTGGTTGTTCGCCCAAATAATTTAAGTATAAAACACACATTTGGTCCAGTGGCAAAAATAATTGTCAGAAGACTAGTATTGTAGAATTTTATTCCAGTTACATGAGTGAGAAGGAAGGGATAAAAAGAAAATCAGTGAGCTGGAATAACTGCATCAAATCTGATTATGATGTCGTTGGAGATCTTGGAGTATTTGGTTCTGACCCAGGGTATCCTTCACACATTTGTAGTTTATAACATGATTATTGGTCGCTGCTGCTATTTTTTTTCTGTTTGCTGTGGTGAATGGTGGGTGTTCGATCTCTATCTCCATAAGCTATTCATCACTATGGCAGCCTCTGGACTATGTTGTAATGATGTGTCTGCCTTTTTTTAATCAGGATATAAGACAGCGTCATCGTTACCTCTGTCACTTGCCTCTTACCTGTGAGTTCAGCATTTGTGAACTGGCTCTGAAGCCACCCATCATCTCTAAGGAGACTTTAGAGCTGTTTTCAGGTTGGTCCTACCTTACTAGTAGGCTCTGTCCTGGATCCATGAGGGTGATGGCAAAGTCATTCTTATCCATTAATGGCGAAAAAAAAGAACATACACAGCAGCTTTACTCCTCTTGCACCAGCTGTCTGATGATTACTAGACAGAAAAATCCCAATTTGCTGTTTTATAGAAAATGATTATACAAATGAAAAAAAAACCCATAAGCTCTTCCAAGCAGGCAGACTTATTTGTAAGCATATTTTGTTAATAATGTGTTATAACTGAATACATAGTTTTCAAAGCTGGAGAAAACATTGCCCAAGTATTGGTGTGGGGTTTTTGATATCCGCTGCTGTGCATTGCTCCTAGATGACCTTGAAAAGAGGAAACGTCTTCGGCAGAAGAAAGCTCGTGATGAACGACGACGTGAACGCAGAATTGAGATAGAAGAAAACAAAAAACAGGGCAAATGTAAGTTGTGACTGAGCATAACTGGTGGATTTCCAGACATCTTTAGTTGCTGAGCTGATTTTTTTTTGAGCTACAAGATGAACTCTTAAGGCCTTTAGTTTGTAGTGTGCACTTAAAACAAGATTACAGGGTATTAGAAACAACATCTGTAGAGTTAAAAAATATAAGCTGTTCTAGTCAGGATGTTAAATTTTGTTATGCAATTGCTGCATACTTGTACGTTATGGGAAAGACAGAGCATTCAAGGGCACAGCTATCTCCATGGTGTATTTAGCTCTCAGGATTCTTAGTTGCTGTTTTTATAGTAATCACGATATAGAGTGAAAAGTGAAGAAGTTAAAAAAAAAGAAAAATGCCTAGGAACTGCTTCCATCCAGCAGTAGGCCTTGTACTGGTCTCTAAAATAGAGGGTGGAAAGAAAATTGAGTTGGCACCTCCTAGACTCCTAAAGCAACTTGAATATTGACAGTCCTCCCCCACATTGTGTAGTGCTTTAATTTAAAACCTCTTTCTAGATCCAGAGGTCCATATTGCTTTAGAGAATCTGCAGCAGTTCCCTGCTTTTACCTCTTGCCCCGAAGAAACTACCAGCATTGATCATCAGAGCTTCTGTCTGTCTCCTCTTGGCAGAAGCCCTGTGTTTCAGACAGGTGAGCATCTGGAAAAACACATCACACTTAGCTCTTGATCATTTTTTTGGGATCTACTGCTCAGGTCATCACACCAAACTTTCTTAATACTGATCAAAGATTGCTTCTTTCCTAGATTGGCTATGAGATCATACACAAAAGGCTGATAAGACTAAGAAACATTCTGATCCTTTGCTTTTTACTGCCTCTACTTCAGTGATGATATGAGATCTGAACTGTAGTTAACTCATCTTTTAAATCTTTGCTGAAGCAGAAGAAAAGAAAAAAAAATCCCCCAAAAGTGAAGAAAAGCATGTATGCCAGGAAAACACTTCTGGCATTTTTTTCTTTCTACCCTCTCTATCTTCCCCACCATGTTATGCTACGATAAAACATAGCTGATGAGCACTTGGTTAGGTTGTTGTCCAGTGATGCTTTACCAAGTGTTTTATCTTGTAGTTCATTAAAAAACAAAAATAGAAACTACTCTTAACTGTTTTTTATAAAAAACAAACAACAAAACACAACCCCCTCCAACACCCCAAAATAAGCAAACAAAAAACCCCAAACAAAGGCCACCAAACTTAAATGTCTTTTAAATAAAAAGATTGAGGAAATTCGAGAGGTCCCACTGTGTGACTAATGGATGGAACCAATGAGATAAAAATGGTCAATTCCATAAGATAGTAAAACTTTATTTCTGTTCCATCCCGGTAAGCAGCGTGAGGGCCTTTGCCCAATTCAACTGGCCTTAATTATCTGCTGCTTTTTCTGTAGAGTCCATTCCAACTCCACTGTCACCTGCTGCCAGCCAGGTCAGTCCGCTGCTCTGTGGGAGTTTAGAAGAAGATTCTCCCTTCCCTTCCTTTGCCCAGGTAAGCCACGTAGCAGAGTAAATCTGGTTGGAATTAGTCGTGTCGTAGTTGGGGCTTAGTCTGAGAACACAGTTGCTTCCCCCCCCAAACCAACGTGGGATAAATATTATGGAGACAACCTAGGGTTTGGGTGCTTGAAGGGGTTACTAGATATCCTGGACTCTTTGGGCATATGCTGGAGTGTTCCAGTACATGGGATTTAATCCTGTCTTACAACGTTTTTTCATAGATGTTGAGAGTTGGAAGGGCAAAACCAGAAACATGGCCCAAACCTGCTCCAAAGACAAGAGGTAAGAAAATTTGCTATTACTACTTCAGGTTCTTTACCATGCATTCTAAATATAAGAAATCTTGCAACTTCACAAGAAACCTCTGGAGTGCGGAGGGGCATTTGCACTCTGAAAGTTTTATACAATCTTCTGCCTTTCCTTCCTTCAGATGAGAACACTCTGGCACTCCCTGTGCCAGTCGATAGTGATGGTGAAAGTGACAGCTCTGACCGCATCCCTGTGCCCAGCTTCCAGAATTCTTTCAGCCAAGCAATTGAGGCAGCCCTCCTGAAACTGGACAAACCGTCCACAGCTGATCATTTATCAGGTAGAAGGAGTGGGGAAGGCATGAAAGATGTCTGAAATGGAAAAAATTGACTATTTCCCCTAATTCCTCTGGGAGATGTGAGAGGCAATTTTAGGCACCAAAAATTGGCCACAGAACAGTTCTGAAAATTGTCGGGTTGTGGTTTCTGAACCACTTGACTAGGGCTTCTGTTAGCTTAAAATCAGCTCCCCTAATGGGAGCTGACTCCAACCAGCAAAAAGTCCCTGTTAGGACAGAGATGGTTTTTGATAATTATGTTTGCCTTCTCTTTACTGGAACTTAAGTTTTATCTCAAGGAAGTTCAGGTTATGCACTTTAAAAATAGCTGAGCTGCTGAACATTTAAGTTTGACCAAAACGGTGAGGTAACCATTAGCTGAAATCTCAGACTGGGGAGCCTGAAACAAATTGATATGAACTTAAACCTCCAAGCCTGGTGCTGGTTGATAAAAGTCATTTATAATGCTCAGTTCTAATGCTTCGCTTTGGCTTCCATTTGGAGATTGCACTGAACGATGGAGAGTTGGATGGGAGGGCCTGGGAGTTTCAGTGAAATTGAGTATCGGCTCCAGCTGTAGTGTGTTTTGGACAAGGATGAAAGTGATACTTGTCTGAAATGCAAACTGCTGCTGCACACTCGCAGTCCTAGGATCTGCTGTTTTAACAGCAACTTTACATCGGTCAGACATGTTTATAGGTGTGCTTTAGGTGTGATGGAGTCTTCCTTAAATGTCTATCTGCAGCATTTGTTTTTCCTTAAAACTGAGCTACCTGATGCTCAGTGAGTTGATGGGAAGTGTCATGGACCTGTAGAAGTTATTTAGCCTAGGGAAGACCATTTATCATTTCTGTGTGTTCTTGTTCCATGAGAAGAATGACAGTGTCATTTTAATTCTTCACAGAGGAAAAGGGAGGCAAGAAAAGAAAGAAACAGAAGCAGAAGCTATTGTTCAGCACCTCTGTTGTTCACACAAAGTGATTCTTCTATTCAAGAGAACTTTCCTCTCCTGGTTTTCTTTTCATTTTGCTTTGTTTTGCTGCTATAGTTTTAAGTATTTAAATTTGAACAGACTAAACTTGTGTTTCCAGGGCTTCTAGGGGGTTCAGGAGGAAACCATGACAGTATACACTGAAGTGTAAAATCTTTTGATTCCAACTGCTTAATCAGTTTATACTGAAACAAAATTTTGAAAGAAACAACCCAGAGACAAATGAGCCAAGGCCTCTAGTCTGTGCCAAGTCAGTTCTTTTGGCCTAGCAAGTGATATGAAAGCCTTTGCAGCTGTGTGGCACTGCCAGAATACTGCAATATCACCCAAGTGAAGAGGCAGAGAGCCTTTATTTACCTAGGAGTATTTATGGGCAGTTCATCCAACTGCGACAGTAGTATGTCACAGTAAAGCTGCCACACTGCTCTCGTGAGAAACTGGTTTCTGCTGCACTAGAAATGGGCGAAAGAGCTCCCTAGCTTTAGAGCATTAGCTGCTCTATCTGTTCCTTTTCTAAAGAGCAAGAATTCCTCCTGTTCTCCTGGCTTGGAAAGATTTAAAGCTGAGGTGAGTGTCAAGCAGAACTTGGCTACTTGGTTTTGAAGTGACCTTCTGATGAATTTGTGTATTTCAAATGCGTACTGGCACTAGTGGTAGAAGGAACCTCCTGGCTTCTCTCAGTTGTTCAACTCTGTTTTAATGCGGGTGAGTGAGGCTGCTAATTTTTTTTTGTTGTTTTTGCCAACCATGGGCTACACATTCTTTGTTAACCTGATCATCTAGAATAAACACTCCACCCCAGGGCTCTTGGTAACTACCCGAATGATATTTTGACACTGGCTGCTTTTGAATTGGAAGAACAACTGAGAGCTGGAGTCTGTAGATAGCTTTTATTCCTCAGCAAGAAACTAGGGTCTCCTCTACTGGGATAAGGGCCTGTATCTGCTTGGTTCTGGGATGCAAGTGGAGCTGCACTAAGCAGTTTGGGCTATAAACATGCCTCTTCTGGACCTCTCCCCGTTCTTTGGGTGGTCACATTCTGCACTGCCTGTGGTTTGATTTGAGCTAATGAGTTAAGTGGTGTGGATTTTGTTGAATAAAATGAACTATAGGTGTAATGTACCAGTCAAGGTCAACAGTTGAAATAAATCACCTGCACACGCGCTTACAGTACTGCCCGCTTCCCGAGCCGTACCCGAACTGCCACATGGACTTGGAGCACACGAACAGTTAGTTGCACAGATTCAAATCCTACCTTTCTACTGACAAATTCATGCCAGGGAGCAGGTATAAAGCACCACCTAACTTACAGTGCCAGATTGATGCTGTCTTCTCTTATCTTCAGCCCCACTTACAGCAGTCATCTGCCTGCATTTGCACAGGCTTCAAAAACATGATATGCTCTCTCCTCTTGACACTGCTACTGATCTGAGCAAGGAAGCCACACGCTTGGGACTCCTGAAGTCCAGTATTCTAATACTGCTGTGTTGTGTCCCTACTTAAAAAAAATTGGGTCAATACACTGATGCTTGATTCCAAAGCGATAGGCTCCATACAAGGATTCCTTGAGGCACTTAAGCGTGCACGCAGGGGAAGCTAGTACCAAAGAGTATACTTCACAGAGCTCTGTATGTGGCTGTAAACTAGAAGGAAGGGGGAGAGGGGGAGGTAAAGGATACTTCAACTGCTACAGGAGGACAGAGGAAACACCTGCGAAATTCTTTGAAAGCAACTCGGTCACAATTAACAACATTTGATGGAAAGACAGTACAGCTTGTCTTAGTTCCTTTGCACTCTCTTGGCAGGATGCCTGAGCGTGGTAACACACCTTGCTGTTAACGCTTTACACGCACATTGGAAAATTATTGGCGAGGGCAGAGAAAGCAACTAAGAAAGATTCAAGTATGCAGTTAACTGTGTTCATAGTACTGTTGTTTCCTGTTTTTAATAGTCACTTTAAGCCATGGAACAGGAGTAACTACTTAGCGTTTAATCAATATCGGTTGTGTTCTATTATCTCTACACATTTGTAGTCAACTTTTCTTTGCACTGGGAAGAGAGACAGAATAGCTGGAGCTGGCATAACTCACCCCCACATCTTGCAGGCACTAGGGCAAGGGAAGTGATGCGGGCAGGGAAGACTGTCCCTCCTGCAGGGGCAGTCTCCACAGGACAGCATCTTCAAGTTATATCTTGTTTTCCTATGGATTCAAGAGATAATACCAGCAATGCTACTTTCCTGTAACTGATTGGTGTAAACTTAATAAATATCTAAGCAGTACTTGTACCTATGAGTTTTATAATGGGTTGGATGGAGCTGAGCCTTACAGCTCTGCATTGCATTCTCTTCTCTTGCGTACACAACAGGTGCTTTTCTGACTCAAAGTAACGGCTACGTGCACTTAAAGATAATGTAAAAAACCACTATGATGTTAATGCTTTTTCCTGTACCGAAGAACTGCTACCTTCCTTGTCCATGCCAACTGCCTGAAGCTCACTTCTACCTCAACAAGAAAATCACATTGAACTGCTACACTCCTTAAGAGGAGTGCAGGTAGTTTTGACTCCTGGAGTGAAACAGGCAGGTAACCTACTTAATAAAACCATGTACTTTTTTTTAAAAAAAATTTATTTAAGAACACTCAGAATGGGGGAATGAAGTCTAAATACGTACACATGCTTTTTCTGTCCCCTGCTTTTCTTAATCCTGGAAGTATCTGGTAACATTTTGATTACACAAGTACAGGACAGAGGTGGACAGTAACAAGTAACGTTCATTCTGTCTCTGTGCCATCATCATCTTCTTCTTCATCTCCACTTTGAGACTGCTCTTCTGTAAGGGAACAGCTCAACAAGGATTTCTGTATGCACCGTCTTTCCTCTGCAATAGAGAGCAAGCAACAGAGGGTCATTACTCAGTCTCTTCCCACAGGCTGGAATATCCTCAACTTTTAAAGAAAGAAACATTTCTCAATTCAAGAATTTGGAAGTAGCCCAGCATATCCTACAAACCCCCAGGAATTGAAGCCTCATTTTAGGATAGCGGCTGGAGGAACTCACCTTCATTTGTACAGTTTTGCAACAACATCAGCAGCTGACTTCTATTATACTGAATCAGAAATTTCTGACATGTTCTTATGGTACCTGTAGGAGTCACAAGAACAATATGTAACAATCTACAAAGCCAAGTGTTTCAGAACTCCTAGTATATTTTCTGAAGGTATTTGTATCAAGTGACAAACGCCCCAGACAACTTTACTAATGTAAGTGCCAAGAAAGGGCTGTAGACTTCATTTCCGCACTGTTAAGGTCAAGTGGTGAAATACTAACTTCTATCATGTAGTGCCTATTATTTGCCCCAAGTGGTTAACTATTCAGGACATGGACAATACTATGCTTTGAAAATATATCTGAAAAAAGAACATAATGTGATACCGTATTTGCTGTTCTGATTTTGTGTAAAATGTAATGAAGCCTCGAGCAGAATTAACGCGGGTTTCAACAACGAACTGCTACTGCCTGTGTCTTACTTAGATCGCCACAAGCAGCCTCGTTCGCACGCCCCGAGCTGCGCCCATCG